GCAGTGTCACTGGCCCTCATATGTGGGATCCGAACCGGGGCCCTCTGGCATCCCAAGCCAGTTCTTAACCATCGCGCCACTCGGCCGGCCCCTCTTTTATTTTTTTAAAGATCATTATTGGGGAATTGGGGAAGGGGAACAGTGTTGGGGAATTGGGGGAGGGGAACAGCCAAGTTGTTGTCCTTCAATCTTAGTTGTGGAGGGCGCAGCTAGCTCAGCTCCGAGTCCAGTCACCATCCAGCCGCCCATCGGTAGCTCGCAGCCATTCAGCTCAAGGTGCCGTGTTCAATCTTAGTAGCCCACCATCACATGTGGGAGTCAAACCAGAAACCTTGTTGCTAAGAGCACAAGCTAACCACTGAGCCATCCAACCTCCCGTCAGCAGCTCAGCTTGGGCGCAGCTCACTGGCCCATGTGGGAATCGAACCGGTGACCCTGCTGCTCAGAGGTAGCGCTCTTAACCAACTGAGCCATTTGACTGGCCCAACCTCAACCCTCTTTTCCTTATATTGTTGGGTTGTCGGAAAAGTCATGACGCATTTTTGCAACAAAAAACATAGAAAACATACGTCATGCCAAAAAAATGTATACACGTTTAAAAAAAAAACAAACCAAAAACCTGTATTAAAATTGTAATACTCGAGCCGGCCAAGTGGCGCATTGGTTAGGAGTTGGCTTGGGACGCCAGCTTTGAGCAGCAGAGCCCGTCTGGAACCCACATGGGGGCCAGTGACGCTGCGCCCTCTACAGCTAAGATGGTGAACAACAGCTCGACCTGGAGCTGGGCTGACATGAGTCGCCAGCGACAGTGGAGCTGGCCCGCAGCTGGCGTGAGCTTTCGTGAGCTGCCATGAGCGGCCGTCCAATGGCTGGCGAGCGACTGCCTCACCCAGGAAGAGTGCAACGATAATACCAACATGGGCAGTGAAGCGACGTCCTCCACAACTAGACTGAAGAACAAAAGGACAGCAACTTGTCTATTCCCCAATTGCCCAATGCTGTTCCCCTCCTCCAATTCCCCAATAAAATCTTTAAAAAATTAAAAAATTGTAATACTCAATATATAAGTATACCAATAACAAAAGATGAATACAAGTCGTGTGTGTGTGTGTGTGTGTGTGTGTGTGTATACATATATAATTCAGGTGACTGAGAAAGGCATTGTATATAAATTGAAAAGCCATAGATAGCTCTCTTGAGAAGGAGTAGAGTATAAAAGGAAAGATTCTAAGAATATTGCCAGCAATAGTATCAATTATAGCCCCCTGCAATATCTCCCTGAAAAATATTTTGCTTAAGCTTACATCTCTAGTTTTGAGATTAAAATTACCCAGACATCACATTACACTGCTTTGAAACAATGATAGAAGCCACCCACCTCAAGAGGAGTCCACGTGAGAAGCTGCAGCCTAATGAGAGGGTTGAACAACTTTGGCAAACAAAGGCCGATGTAAGCATCCTTGTAGGATGTGTAGTATTTTGAACGCCATGCTTCAAATTGGGATTTAATACAGTCGATTGAATAGAAACTCTCAATGACATCTTCAAAAACCTTGCTGGACTCTTTTGAAATGCGATCTAAATAAAACAATAACGACAACAACCACAGAGAAATTCAGTATGTAGTAGAAAAAACACAGTTCAATTATTTTCAGCATTTTCTTTGTAGCTTGAGTATCAATAAGAGATAGGCTCATTAACAAAGGAATAATTAACTGTTAATTACAATTTAAAAGAAAGGATAAACAGGAATAAGTTTAGATTTCAAATGTCTATTATGCAAACCAAAGTACAGGCACTCTTTCCTTTGTACCATTTTGTTAAATAACATCTGTCCCCAACAATTCAGTTCAAATTTCAGCTACCATGGTATATTAACTGAGTAATTGCTTAAAGTACAAACTTTGCTGCTAGCTCTTCAGTCCACAAATCACTGTGTAAATAACACACATGACCAATCATATCACTTCTTTCAAAGTCTGTTTGTGACAGCAATAACTGACATAGACAAATATCAGCAATGGATGCTAGTAGGATTTTTAAGTAAAAGGTCATTTGATGCCCCAGGTGACTTGGGAAAGGGGAGTTTTCATAATGGCTAGACCTAGTTGTGACAACCTACTTCTCAAAATCAATCTTAATTAACATTGCTAACATTGGAACAATCTTAACATGTGTCATCTATTATTACGCAGCAAGAAACAGCATCTTCTACGAAGTATTCCTGACAAAAAAGTTTAACCTCAATCTAATCAAGGTTTCAGACCTAAAGTCCAGTTTACAAGATATACAGTGAACGGATAAACAAGTTAATGCCATGAGGAAACACACACCTAGAATGTAAGATGTTCTGCAAGACAAGTGGCCTGGTGTCTTCAAGAAGTTAATGTCTTACACAAATAAATCATAGGGGTGTGTGTATGAGTAAGGAAATTGTGGATGCCCATTAATTCTAGATAAAAAGATGTTAACAACCAAATGCAGGGCAGGAAACTTGTGTGGATCCTGGTTTGAAAAACACAGAACAACCCATAAAAACAGTCCCAAGATACTTTGGGGGGCTGCTGCTGAGGATAATTGAACACAGACATGATATTAAGAAATTTTAGTTGATTTCCTTAAGTGTGATAATGGTATTGTGGATTAGGTAAGAAAATAGCCTTGTTTTTAGGAGACATGTGCTAGTTTTTAGAGGGAAGTGCCATGATGTCTGTATGGTTCTGCAAAACACACACATTCACATAGAAAGAGTTAAAGCAAACTTGGTTAGATGATGGTTAAGAACTACTGAATCTGGGTGACAGGTATGTACGTGGGTGATCACCGTGCTAGTCTTTCAAACTTTCTGTATGTTTAGAAATGTTCACAATGAAGAAGCAGAAGTATAAGCTTCTCCAACTAAGTTCCAAATGACTTGCAGACAATATAATTCCAAATAATTCCAGCCAATGGTGGGAAATGAAGAATTTTATTTAGGGATCCTTCTGGAAATGCCTGGCATACACAATACTAACTATTCCTCTTGGTTGAAATTATTCAGGGCTCCCCCAAATCAGGAATTTCCTTCAGGGCTGAGTGCTCTACTGCCAAGCTTTAGCCTTTCTAGGCCAGATAGGCTACATTATGGTAGCCCTTGGAGAATAGTATCATTTATTATGAAAGTCCTAAATAAACCCCAGGACAAGGCATTACCACTATTTTTGAGAACTAATCGTGGTATTCTGTAATACGAATGGGTGTTTCTACAATTAAGAAAAAAGTGCCTGGTTCTAATACAGAGGTCACAAAACTCAAACCATCATTTCATGGTAAAAACCGCGCCCAAGCAGAAACTAAACTGACAATGAATCTCATTTCCAAATAAATGTCTAACCTTTTTCCAGATTGAAATTTGTAATATCTGTAGAAGTTTCTTCATCATCACTGGAAAGGCCTTCAAGGTGATCTGCCATCTTACCGGTTTGCTCTCTGGCTTGTCTACGACGAGTCCTAAATAACAAACATCAAGTTCCTAAACCAGATGAAAGAGGTTCCTCCCTTCACAAACAACCCAACAGCAAGCATTTTCAGATTTACCTCCTGGCCTCCCGTTCCGCAATCCGACGTTTTGCATGCTCTTGATACAGTGCTCGATCTCGTCCAAAGGAATCAAGATTTGGTGCCATCAGAGCTTTATCTGTAAAACAACAATGGTTAAAATCAAAAACCTTCCTTCAACGATCTTGAGGAAAGAGTTTGCACAGAATAAGCCATAATGATAGACTGACTGCTTGCTAATCTCAACATCAGGATTCTTCAATAATTGGTAAACCAGGTAGTTTTCTAGTTTAGAGCAAATCACAGTATTATTCTGTGTTCCCACGAAAAGGAATGGAAAAATAAATGGAGTTCAACAACCCTACACAAACGCAACTGGGCTTAATCACTATTTTTATATGTCTAAGCAACAGAACTAGTTTATACCACCATGACAACCAAATAAAAATCTAAATTACCTGTGCGAAGGGAAAAACAATAGATTACTTTTTAAAGGAAGAACTTAAGCATCATATGTTAAATAATATGAAATGACAGGAAAGAAACATAGGTAGGATGAGAAAACAGCTTTGTTGCAGTTTAATAATTTCTTTTAATTCTAATTTTGCTTTGTAGACATTTATTCTCTATTACTATTTTTAGAACAAGGGCAGAATCAACACGTAGACTGAAAAGTATATCTGAATAAGACCAACTTAAGCTTTCTCAAACACGAGTCTTTTAAAGCACAAATCCCTTATTTCTTTTTTGTCCTATTTTCCATCTTTTTTTTTAAACTTTCTGGGGCATTTTTTTAGCTTTAACTTCCAATCTTCCTATTTAAATTTATATTTCAGTTACCATAGTTTTAGTTCCCAAGAGGTTGCTCTTGTTCTTAGAATTCCTTTTCTATAGCATCTTCTACTTGTGTTATGGGTAGAATACCTTCTGTTATCTCCCTGAGGATATCAATTATGTTTTAAAATTTGTTCTGCCACCCGCATTGTCTGTGTTTCCTCAGTTCCTTAGGTTCTACTGCTTGTGTTGGTCTGGTGATTCTAACTCCTCACAGAAAAGAGCGAGGCTGGAGGTTCCGTGGACATGGTGGGAGTGGTCTAACAGAGGCATCGCCATCAGAACACTGGGTCAACTCTTTTGTTGGGGGCTCCAAGATGTTTTTGTCTACGGATCTTTTCTCTGAACCCATTCTCTGTCTCTAATCTCTTGCCTAAGGTAGAAGGAGGAGTGGGGGAAACATCCGTTTGCAATACTCCCCTCATTTCTACATTTTAGTTCCACACTGTGAAGATATTCTGCAATACAGTAAGTCCTCAATTAACATCGTCGACTGATTGGTTCTGAGACTTTAAATGAAACAAGTTTTACCATAAGCTAATTCATGTAAACAAGTTAGGTTACTACAGTATGTCATCAACATTATACCAAAATGGTGTCAAATGAAACGATGTTCTTTGAGGACCTGTTGTATATGGGATAGCAATGAGAAGTGAACAACAAGGGATGGGGGTGGGGGAGAAATCACATGCAAAAATGAAAGAAAGGCTTTTGCATATTTTTCCCCAAGATGTGTCAGCAATAGCAGCAACAGGTAAAATAAAACCAAATAATAGCTCTGTACACTTCAGCGTACCCTAACTATCCTAGATCCTACTATTTTTAAAGTCAACTTTCTCACTGAGTTTTTCACTCATATTTCAAAGTAGCTCATATATTAGGAAGGCAGTATGTTCCCAAGTTCACAAATTATAAAGAAAGATGAGTACAGTACACAGGAAGATGCCCTAGCGTTACCTCAACTGTGAGTTCACTATACACCGCAGATGCATTAGCTAAAAGGTCCCAAACTACAGAAATGATTCCTGCCTCTTTAAGAGATATCCTTAAATTAAAGAAATATTTTAAAGACTATTCATTACTACAATAAACATTCTAAATGCTGCTGTATTTATAGATTTTATAAAATATATACTGAAGAAGCCATGAGTAGATGACTCAAGTGAGAGTCTCCCTCATTTCTGTAAGAACTGTATGCAGTAATTGTGTTAAGTTTTTACAAATCTAGAGATCAATTTCAGTCTTGTTTCTTTTTAAAAAGATCAGAAATGGAAATGATACTTCAGTGTTCCACGCAGTTTTCCTCAAATCTTTGGCAATTAATGAATAGGGCAGTATTTTTCACTTTCTCACTACCTTTCAATTTCTTTCCAACTCTCAATCTAATTAAACATATATCATTCAACCTTTACTTCTAATTTCATATAAGTAAATAGCTCCAAATTATAAACAACAGATTATAGGCAGGAATAGGTATTTGATGAAATGTACAGCTCACACAAAACATTTAACTTAAAAGGAAATTACTTCCCTTCGTAGGTATAATGGTTACCTGTAATCTGTCCCAGAAATCTGGTTCTGTCTGGATCAAAAGTGATCTGGGAGGGATGCATTAGTCATTTAGGTGCCCAACAGGGCAATACAATTTAAACTTATGTAGCAAAAATAGAGGTCAAAGCCTCTGTGTTTGTGGCTCACATCTCAGTCTGACTCAGCTCTGAGGGCCGTTTCACCACCTCGTTATGATGCTCCAAAACCCACCTGGCACACAGGAGGATGCTTTCTCAGGGATCCACTGTCTCTCTAATTTAGAGGACACCCTATATGATAAATCTTTGTTTTCAGAAAGAATAACACTAGGGCCCTTTGCACTTGGATGACCTGGGGGTGGTTGTTAACATGAAGATGACTGGACACCATTCAAGATCTAGCAAGAATCTCTGGGGAAAAGACCAGGAAATCTGCACTTTAAATTAGTATCATGGGTAATTGTGATGTACACTTCCATTTGAGAACTGCTGACACAGGGAACAAAGAGATGACAAAAGAGGCCGCAAGAAACCCATGCTACAAAAATTCATATTAGAGCACCCAAGAATATGGAGGGCAAAGGAAAAATGGAATTAAAAGGCTGAAAACATCGGCTTAAAGAATCTCAGCTAAACTATTTAATAATAAGTTTCCAATTAATTTTGGTTTTCCATAACACATATCATAATGAAAGGAATATAAATTCAATTTCTAGATTTTCACACTAATATTTCAAGGACTATAGGTATCAACTGACTTACGAAAAAAAAACAGTATAAAAGACAAACTAGAAAATATATAAAAATTTTAAATACAAAAAATTTTACTTTATCCAAGGGGTGAAACTCAAACTCCCCTAATCCTGGAGTTGTATCATTTGTTACGTAATAAAACCCCTTCTGCCCTAAAAAATTCCCCAGTCCCTAAACTCAAACTCTTTCTTTGTAATCAACAACAGCATTTGCCCTGGTGTTATGAACAGGATGAAAACGGGGAGGAAATCAATTAGGACCAAACCGATAGTGGTTTTAAGATAAAATACTGATAATGTGTTTTCTAACTCTAAAGAATAAAAAAAATTGTCCAAAGAAGAGTAAGGCTGATAGCATATTACTGCACGTTTTTGAGCTCCTTTGTGAAGCTATATTTTCTTAAACACAACCCAAGTACATGCTATTATAATTTTTAGATCTACCTAACACAAGAGCAAAAGAACTCATTTATTAAAAAGAAAAAAAGGATGCTCTGAGATCTCTAATTGTCAGTTAGGCTGCACTAAGTAAACAAGGTTGTTTAATGAATAATAAAAACCTTCAAGATGGACTGACTTGAATGGCTTGAAAACTCCGAAGATTCATCTTTAATATCATCTTGTCGTCTTTGGACAAGGCGGGAAGCTCGCTGTTTGTACAGCTGATGTATTGCTGATTCAAGTTCATTAATCAGTGGCACCTGTGAAAATACAACACACTCCGTAACACCAAACTCCTCAGCGGCTTACTTATTTGAGGGTTCCATTCTATTTCCGGATTTCTGAAAAAGTACCCTCTATGGACAGAATAATCATGAATCCCCAGTGGCACACAAATAGCAATTCAGTTTTACAAGGCTTAGGAAAACAACACTTCTTTTCATCCATATATAGAGCTATAATGTCCCGTGCCTAATTATTGGAGCAAAAGTTTGGTTAGGAAACTTAACACCTCAATATTAGTTAAAAAATATAAAAAGTCAAAAATTTTAGTGCTTTTCTTTTAGAACAAAGTACTTGGAAGTCTTTTAAAGTCTATTTTTAATTTTCCAGCAGCATGATCTGCCTTGTAATTTTTGTAGTTTCAAATAAACTATTATCACTGTGTGATACCAAAAAAATGCAATGGCTCTATTAGGTAAGAACAGAGTCAACTAACTGCCCAATTTTTGACACTTCATTGCCCTGCCACTCATATGTACCTTACTACTTTGCAGTTCTATTACACATTGTAAGTGTAAACTGCACTCATCTACATTAATAAGGCAAATAAAATTTCTAGCTATCACTAACCTGTCTGAAACCAATAGAGCTCAAACTCAGAAAGCTCTTATCAAATGTCTAAACTTTTCCATATTTTGTAATAAAATAGTAAATTGTCATTTTACAAAGTCAATAAATTTTTCCAGGTTAATATCCATGGCTAAGCATTCACTTGGTTCATATAGAATAACAAAGCTTATAGAACGAGACCTAACTTAAAAAAAAAAAAAAAAAAGCAAAAAACTTTTTATTTATAACCTTATGTTATAACCAAATACCAAATACTACAAACTTTCACAAAACACTAACAACCACTACACATACCTGAGGAAACCAGAAATTCTAGTTTCCTGATGGCTAGTGCAAATGGAAAACACATTATTTAGAGTTTGGGAACACTTGAACCAAGTATTATAGCATCTTCCTGAACTGAACAGACTGCAAATGGAAAATAAAAAAAGGCAGGTGGAATACAAAGATGTCTGTAATAAAAGCAATTTTATACACTTGCATGATTCCATTGCAAAAGTAGTAAATGTTCACAGAAAGGTCAAACTAATAGAGTTATTTTATTCTTTAATATGTCACATCATGGGCAACAACATCCCCAAATCTGCACTAATTATCTTTTAACAGCTGAGCCCAGAGACTAGCTTTAAAATGTACATAATCAATTTTTTAAGCAATTACTACCCTATCATTGTTACTTACCCTTCCCCAACCCCTTCATTTTTTCCAAATCATGCAGGACTAAAGACAAATATACCTATGTACCTAAAGTGCATTTTTTTAGTCCTGGGGACTGTTAACATTCCTCTACCATAAGAGCTACACACCTGAGGTTACATCAGACAGAAATGAATTATTCAACTTAGTTAAAATTCTGATATAATTTTCCTGCTAAGGTAATTGGAATGCCTTTAACAAAGCCAGAGAAAATTCTACTGAGAATAAAAGTCCTAAAGCACATTTTCAGCTCACGCTCATGTTTCTTAACAATGTTGATTTAAGAGTATGCACCGTGAACAATTTCTTTGCCCTCTCCAAACTCAACACTGTTATTGACTATTATTATTATTTCAAAACCAAATATAGGGCAAAGAACACAAGAAGGAAGACGATTATAGGTAAATAAAGTAACGGGAAGTTAAAATGATCTGCAAATAATTAAAAACCCAAGTTCAAAACCACTTAAACTTTTATAACAAGAGGAAAAAAACAAAGGAATGTTTATCTTTTTATGGTCTTACCCTGAAACGGTATTTTTACAGTATAACTCAAATGAATATTTAAATCTATCCAATTGTTCCTAAATATTTCCAAGATGACAATTTATGATATTATTAACTCAGCAGGAGTCTCTTAATAAAATGGAATGCATATGAAAATGTCAAAATGAAATAAAACATCTTTAAAAGAGGGAATTATCTACCTTTTTTAATTAAAATGTAGTCACTGTATAATATACCAGGTTTAAGATCTGCTCCAAAAACATTTATCTAAGTGCCTCCGCGAAACCACATTAGCACAATCTGAGGTAGGCTTCTCTAAGAACAGGGTAATCAAGGAGAGATAAAAGTACACTACTAATTGTTTATAAAATTGATTATAAAATGAATATAAAATTGAAAACTAGGGGCACTAGATGTCCTAGTAGTCTCTTTAACTCAAGAATTGTATAATCTAGTTGATCATATTACTGTCTATATTTTCTAAGAGTTCAGTTTGCTATTAAAAGCATACAAGTAAGTTCCAAAGCAAAGGCCAAGATATTTCAAGAAAAAGCTCTACAGGGACCACCTCACAAAGTATGGTTTAAGACAAAGATCCTTTCTCCAATCACCAAAGGTTATTAGACCAGCTCCCACCATGCCCGCCGGGCTCATAAGGGCTTTATTAGTAGGAAGACACAGCCGCCAGCTATGACACTTACATCCACACCCCTGCACAAAGGCAAGCCTGTGTTTCTTTCCCACCCCTGTACTTTGTCACCCTAAGCCACTAACCTGCCACAGGGAATATATCATAGCTCAGCCTATAGTTACTTCTCCAGAAATCAGGTAATAAGGATAAGAATGTGATAAATCCTACAGAGGACCTGGTGAATGCTGTCTCGGCCTCAATCTGACCACAGATTGGCTGGAACCATTAAAGCCCATTAGGAAGACAGTCAGTCTGGCAAGGTTCTTGGGCCAGCCTTTGGCTTTAGGGTATCGAAGTAATCAACAGGGATAACAGAAAGCTAAGACTCATGTAAACATACATACACTTACAGATTCTATGCTAATCCACACAGCCAAGAATAAGGGAAACACTGCCTTCTAATCATCACTGCAGAAAGTTTAGAGACAGGATATTCAAAGCACTATCATTTTAACTTTTTTCAAAAGCTAAGACTGCAAAGTCCACAAATGCTTATAAATCCATTCATCAAATAATAACTTTAGCTTAAAGAAGAAAAATCTATTAAGAGGTGATTTGAGAAAAAAGGAATTCTCTATGCAGCTAATTTTAAAAATGCAAATCTAAAACAGTGGAACTTCATATTAAAAACCCATCATACTAAAAAAAATGAACTTGGAAGAAATGAGACTTTAAAAGAAATAGTGGCCAATGAATGGTTTCTGGAATGAATGAAGCATAGGCTTACTTAGATGAAAACTATTAGCAGCAATGGTGACTGACTTCATCCAGGGTAAAAAATAAAAACTAATAAAATTTTGCAACTTGTTTAGTTGTGCAAACAGTTTAAAGATAAGTTAAGTCTTGAACCATAAAAAAAGAAAATTCCATCAGATGAATCCTATATATTCTAATAATCCAGGGCAGGCCAATAATCTATGATAATATTAAGGCAGGACTTGCCAAAGTCTTATTTAAAGTGCTTTGAGTTTTCCTTTTTTGTTTTCAACAAAGGCAGTATATTTGCCCCTAAGACAGAATGCCGCTAATAAAGTGAAGAAAATGAAGCATGACTTTTCATCACTTCTAAAGTTGAATTCAGGATATGTTCTGAGAAATACAGATGTGATCTACACAAAGCCATCTAGACCTCCCTAATTTTGCCTTATTCAAAGAGATTAATATTTTTGCATTCTTACCTTTTCACTGAAACACTCAAGCAAGTCTTGGACATACCCTCGCATTTCTTGCAAAAATTTATACCGTTCACCAATACCCCCAGAAGACCCTTCTAATCTTTCAATAGCCCTGGTGGAGTCCACTTGGCTTTGCAGGTGTTTCTCATGCTGCTGTCGATTTGTTTTGTGTAGTTCTTTCATGGAGTCCAACCTTAAGAACACAAAAGGATAAATATAACACATTTACACCCCAAAATCTATGCTGTCAGGACTCTTGCAATATTATAATGCATTTAGCTCCACTATTAGAATATAAAAGTATTTGGAGTGGCATCTTTTCATCTGTACTGCTCTTTTCTCAAAAAAAAAAAAAAAAAAAAGGGCAGTTTACAGACTTCATATAAAGTTATGTGATGGGCTAACCAAAATCTCAGTTTTGCTTTTCCCCCCATATCTTGACTACACTTTTTCAGAGTCCAAGAGGTGCAAACTCAGAAATGTCTTCAACAAGATCATGGAGTGACATTTTTTTTAACTTTTTGCAGCTTCCACAGAAGTAATCCCAGAAGGTAGCAGAACAAAGCATGAAGTCATCTTCTGCTCAGCTTCTGAAGATGGGCCAGTGAGTCTTCTTTGCCGATGTTCTGCATCTGCTACCCCAGACTACATGTTGCCTGAGGAACAGAAAGCTAGAGGACAGGTCTTTAAGAAGTTGATCTGCCCTACCTGTCTTTAAGCTGTTTCTTTACCAAATCAATAGTAACGGGAGTCATCTCATTACTGGGAGTTTTGAAAGGGACTGTATTATCTGTTTTTTGAGATTTGGCATCGGATGATCCATAGGCTGTGTAACTGTAAGGAATGCCATAGGATGAACCATAAGGCATCGTCGGGTAAGTGTTCTGGTAGTACACATTCACTTCAGTGGGCTGACTTGCTTGCACCTAGAAACAAATAGGAAGCATATGAAAACTACTAGCTAAAACTTTGAAAAGAATCATTTCATGACTTTAGGGTTTAAAAAAAAAACTAACAGCAAAAATTATACCCATTTTCCAAACAGTATGTACTTCAAATAAGTGATTCTTTAAAATCAAATAAAAGTAGGGCTGAACGATGTTCTAACTCTTATGGAATTACTGGATTTGTTTCTAATAATTTTCAGAAAAACAATATCAAAGTTTAGAGTTGGAAGGGACATTAAAAATTATCCAAGGGGGCCGGCCGAGTGGTGCGATGGTTAAGAGCTGGCTTGGGACGCCAGAGGGCCCCGGTTCGGATCCCACATATGAGGGCCAGTGACACTGCCCTCTACGGCTAAGATGCTGAACAACAGCTCAACCTGGAGCTGGGCTGCCGTGAGTCGCCGGCGACAGCGTAGGCTGCGGGCCCCTCTGACAGTGGGTAGCCATGGGCTACCGTGTGTAGCCAGCAGCCAACATGAGCGGCCGGCAGCTACCGTGAGCGGCCGTCCAGAAGCCGGCGACTAATCTGCCTCACCCGGGAAGAGCGCAATGATGGTGCCAACTTGGGCCAGTGAAGCAATGTCCTCCACAACTAGACCGAAGAACAAAACGACAGCAACTTGTCTGTTCCCCTTCCCCCAATTCCCTCATAAAAAATCTTAAAAAAAAAAAAATCCAAGGCCACCAATTTATCAATGGAAGAGGATCAAGTACTTGCCATGGTTGTAGAATAAACAGACAAGCAGAGATTGGCATCTAAGACTCCTGACACCTAGTCAAAGACTTGCTCTACTACACCCTTTAACATAACCCAAACACGTGCAAAATTCTGCAACAAAACACTAGTAACAAAAAGTTTACATTCATGCAATATTTCCACTGCACTACTTACTTCTTTAAAACAAACATAACTATTTAAGAAGATTTTTGTTATGTTTTGTTTTTGTTTTCTAAATTGGGGAATTAGGGGAGGGGGACCAGCCAAGTTGTTCTTCAATTTTAGCTGTGGAGGGCGCCAGTCACCATCTGGCTGCCTGTAGGCAACTTGTGGCCTCTAAACTCAAGGTGTTGTGTTACAATCTTAGTTGCGGGTGGGCATAGCCACCAACCCATGCAGGAGTTGAACCAGCAGCCTTGTTGTTAAGAGCGCATGCTCTATCCACTGAGCCATCCAGGTGGCAGCTCAGCTCAAGGTGCCGAGTTCAGTCTTAGTTGCGGGCGGGCGTAGCCCACCACTGAACAGGCAGTCTTGTTAGGAGCATGTGCTCTCACCAGTTGAGCCATCCTGCCACCTGTTGGCAACTCAGTGGCAGCTCAGCTGAGGGTGCAGCGTCACTGGCCCATGTGGGAATTGAACCGGCGGCCCTGTTGCTCAGAGCTCGTGCTCTTAAGCTAACTCTTAACCAACTGAGCCACTCAGCCAGCCCCTAAGAAGGTATTTTTCATCTGCAATAATGTTTTGCATTACTGAGAAATCCATCTTCTACAAAATAATTTTCAAAGTCAGGAAAAATAAGTTATACAGGAAAGAAACTTTTTATCTATCGAGGGTCTTAAACTTCAGCATGCATGAGAATCACCTGGAGATCCTCATTAACAGATGGCTGGGCCCCACCCCCAGAGTGTCTCATTCTCTAGGTCTCAGCAAGGGGAGGATTTGTATTTTTAACAAGCTCCCAGATCCTACTGGTGCTACTGGTTGAAGAACCACTTTGAGAAACACTGATATAAGAAACTAGATATTCTTCCATCATTTGACTATAAATAAAACAAAACATAATACAGTTTCTTCTAAAAGCTTATTGGATACATAACTTCATGTAATTTTCTCAATTATGATACTTGAATGAGTGACAAAGATTGACTTCAACATGCAATGTTTTTACTTTAACAAAATAGACAAGGTTTTTTTTTTATTTACTTTTCAATTTTTGAATTTTAATTCTTTAGTTCTTACCTGAGGGATATTAATTCCTTTTCTTATCTGCTCCTGTTCCCATCGGCTGAGCTCTTCATCTTGTTCTCCAGTTACTAAAGCATCATCATCACTCCCCTCAATACCTGCAGCCATAAACAGCAAAAAAATAGTAGTACCAGAAAAGCAGGGAGAGGAAATGCTAACCTGATATTTCACAAAAATTTAGCAAAACTATTGCTATTAACTCAACCTTACTAAAATTTCTACATTATGATCCCCTCTCACTGGATACTTCTGACTATGCTTGTCTTATACACGGTATCCCTTGAAGTGAAGGGCAGTATTAATGTAACTGTTAAAACCTTAAATAGGTTCCCTAGTCTCTGTGCTTATATAAAGTGCTTAGCACAATACCGGCTACACTGGAAGTGTTCAATAAACATTAGCTATCACAATCATGCTGGAGTTTTCAAAAAATTCCAATAAGACACTTGTATCCAAGCAAGAACAATCCTCTAACATGAAACATAGTTAAATAAATGTAGGAACTTTTTATCTATTTATTTTGACATCAAATCACACTTGCTGGCAATGTAATAGGGCTTATTATTCTATTAAATCAAGTTACCTATTTCCTCGGCAATTTTTTGTCTTTGTGACTTTTCTTTCACAGAAAACACTATACGGCGTTTCTCATCATCATCTTCATCATCGCTGGCATCATTCTCATCTTCTCTAACAAGGCGGCCTTTACCAGGCTCACTATCATGAGGAGTGAAATCTCCCAACTCCCGGGCCATTTGACGCTTTTTCCTTGCAGCATGTATGAAAGCTGCATCTGGAATTTCTCCTGGAAACAAATGGTAAGGATTATAAAATGTGTCAAGAGTATAAAGTTTCTGTTTTCTTGAAAATATGAAGGGTAAAATAATCTCACCAATATAGCCCTATCATACATTCTAATGTTAGTTGCTGACACCCCCTTCCCAAACTGTGCCTGCAACCCAACAGATTTATTTTTAATTTACTTTAAATGGAAACTAAAAGTCACTAAGGAAACTAAAAAGAATGCACAATGGCAATATGTATGGGAGGGAGGGGAGAGGAACCACCATAAGCAGTTTTACTTTAACTGTAATTTTTTTCATTTTTTAGAAAAACAAAATAAAATCATATTACTAAATTAAAAAATAGATAAAAATTAAAAAGGTACCTACAACTCAAACCCTAAAAAACACTATTAGATTTACAGAATATTTCTCTTGCAAACAGTTTTCAGTTCACCTGTGAGCATATTGAATATAATTCTGTACTTAATTTTCTTCATGTTAAAACATAAGCTTTTCTCCATATTGTCGTTTTGCATAAATACAATTTTAATGGCTTAACAACATTCTCTTAACAGATTTACAGAATTAAATTAATTGACCTTTTCACCTACAGTAAAAATTAATGCCTTACTACTTGTCAAATTGTTATTTTAACAGCTGTGCAATATTCCGTCATGTAAATGTACCTTTAATTTACTAAGCCATTCCTCCCCTGCCAGACATTTTTTTGTAAATTTTGCTCACTGCAAATAATGTTGCAATGAAAACATTATTTTGGGGGGATGAATTTCTAGATATGGAAGTACAAGGTCAAAGAGTAAGAACATTTGAAATCTATTGATTCATATTGCCAAATAGCTTCCCTTAAAGACTGTACCAATTAGAATGTTACTAGATCTATGTATATAATTCTTCACAACTTTACCAGCCCAGAGTAAGCATTTTTAAATTTTATAAATGTAAATGAGTTCAATGATATCCCTTCGTAATTTACATTTGGCTACTAAGCACTTATGTATTCAAAAGCTAATTAGCCAGTGAAGAGATCCGCAAACTATTTCCTATAGAAAAGCAAAAACGAAGAAAGCGTAGACAGGAAACTTAGTTTTGCTTAGTAGCAGTTCTAAAAATGTTAGTCTTGATCTGAAATACATTTTTTAAAAAAAGACTTTAGTACCACTTATCTATCCATTTACTCATATTTGCTTTGATAACAAAAACTGCCTGTCTGACAATGAACTTGGAAAGTTGGGAAGTTTCTACTTCTCTCACTTTTTATACTTGCAAAAGTTAACACCCTGACTTCAAACAAGGATGTCATGAGAAACACCACTGAGCTAACTCCTTCCTTAACAACCATCTTTACAGATGGCCCATTCTTGAGGACTTACTCTGGCTGAGAAGCATTTGTGAATACACACCTGGGCGGAGAACATTTAAAGATGATAAAGCATTTGAAAAGGCTCCGCCAGCCTTCGGCTTTTCTTCTTCCTTCTCGCTTTCCATATCCATTTCATCTTCACCATGTTCACTAATGATAACTCCATCTTCTTGAGTGGTGTCCTTAACGTGTCCTATTTTGTCCAAAGGTGGTTCATCTACATTTTTGAAAAATTAAAATGATTTTAAAAGAAAATCCATAAAGGCACTTTTTATTTGATTATGCGCTTGATTCATTAAAGCTTAAACTATTTTAACTGTTTATAAAAACCTCAATCCAATAATGTATGAAAATGAAGTACCACAAAAACAGACATAATTGGGAGATAAAAATAATATAGGGGACACAGAGATGCATTTGAGGCCCTATTCAATCCCACCTTTAATTAATATTATCACAATTTTCCTCATTTATTTCTTCCTCTAAACGCCCAGAGGTAACTGTTCATGCCTCTTTGAAGCATTATTTTATGAGTATTTCATTAAACTCTAAGGCCGTTCCAGGCAGCTTTTATTAAGAACGAAGTTTACAGACCACATATCTTCCTAGTTTATAACCATTTGTCATCATCATCTGAAGGAGTGAGACCCAAAAGTCACATTTAAACTGTGCACCCCTGACCCCACTGCCATGACTAAGTATTTAAGGGTGAATTTGTGACCAAAGCAGAGACAACCTGATTCTGTTCTGGGAATCCAGACACAAAGCCAGAGACCAAGAGGCACTAAGAACAGCCACATGTATACCAGGAAGGCAGCACTGCAGTGGCCATATTCTGCCATGTGAACAGAGAAGAGAGTTCTCAATTCTCAGTTCTAATTCTCAGGCCATCCCTAATGCCAGATTCAAGACTGCTTTCCTGCCACTGGGTTTCAGGAAGCCTATAGTGGTTTACTTTACACCAAATGATTTGCTTTACTAAATAGTCCTATTCCTCCATCTCAAGCAAAACTCAAGAAAATCAAAATGTTTTTCACCTTGAACAGCGGTTCTCAACCTGTGGGCCGCGACCCCTTTGGGGGTCGAATGACCTTTTCACAGGGGTCGCCTAAGACCATCGGAAAACAAAAAGATATTTACATTACAATTCGTAACAGTAGCAAAATTACAGTTATAGAGTAGCAACGAAAATAATTTTATGGTTGGGGGTCACCACAACATGAGGAACTGTATTAAGGGGTCGCGGCATTAGGAAGGTTGAGAACCACTGACCTTGAAGCACTTGAACCTGGCAGTGTACACAAGAGGCACAATGAATATAATACAAGACTAAAACAAAAGTCTATTCTAAATATGAAAGATACTCTTCTGTTGTTTCCCTAGCATGCTCACCTCCAAAAATTGCTTCAACAGTTCTCCATTCTTCTCAAACCATATTCTACTCCCTAAACAAGAGTCCCAGGGATAATGCCCATGCCGCTGCCCCCCTTACCTTTACTGAGAAAATTTAGGTCATTCTGTTTTAAGTTTTTCCAGTTAACATCCTACCTCATTAGCCATAGACTTCCGTCTGATGTGCATCCTGAAGCTATGAGGTTTTTAAACCCACGTTTTCAGACTTACATGGTTAGATGGAGTCAAAAACTACCCATTTCCTTCTGTTCTCAATCTACACTAAATCAATGGCTTTTAATACACAAAACAGAACTGCAAAAGGTCTACCAGATCAGATATGCTCAAATAATGATTTCTGAAATTTTAAAAGATTCAGTGTTTCGTTAAGTTCACAAGTATTTGCTTATGATTGAGCAAATAATAGTCCAAAACACCGTCACAGCTGAATTTTTGTTCGTGGTCATGTAGTATGCTTCCAGGCGTCTTTATAAAGAGATGTTAAAGAACCTTTTTCTAGGCTCCTCTTTGCCCTCAATTTTATTTTCTGCTACTGCTTCAGGTGACTTGCTCTCATAAGTATTCTCATTACCTTGATCTTGATTAGGCTCTCCCTCTCCTCTTCTGTAGTCTTCAAAGAGACATGGGCTTCCCTTGATCAAAATAACTTCTTCTTGATCCCAATGGTCTCTCTCTAGCTATCGTCTTCTACTTCTCTCTCTGTCCAGCTTCTCAAAGCAGCAGTGTGGACTGGCCACCTTCTACTTCCTCATCAACTCGCAAGCCTCACCCTGACAAACGGCCTTTGTGTTCTCCCATCCCAAGTTCACCAGCTAACCCAAAGGCTGCAGCCACAGCTAATTCATATACTATCATTGAGCAATTTAGCAAAAGATGTCCCTTCCCCCAAATTGGCATAGAGCTTCGCTAGTGGACCAGTCTCTTTTGTCACATGCCCTCCTCCAGGAAAAAACATAGCAACCCTGCTAATAGCCCTTCCTTGGTCTTTACTTTTCCTAGCCTTTCTGGCACTACTTCATACAACTGCCATCATCATCTTGAAACTTTCCTGTCTTTTCTCCTTTAGCCCTTTGATTCTCGTATCTCTTTAGTAAATCCTCTTCTGTATGTGTGTGCTTATTACAGGTAGAAAGAAGTCTTTGGTCCTCTGGAATTTTTCCTTTATGCTGCTCCCTCATCAACTCCATTACTTTTGGTTTTTTAATTATCATCTCAATAAGCACCATACCTAAATCTACATCTCCAACTGTTCACTGGCTCTTCCACTCAAATTCAAGTTTAAAAGTAAACTCATTATTTTAGGAAGATCACACAAATAGGGCTTTCCAGATCAATACCCTTGTTTTGAAATTAATGCATCTCTACCTATCTAAGGAGGGCTGGGCTAGAAAGAGTTCAGGTTTGTGAGTTGATTAATGAAAGAGCTCCACAGCACCATCATTTTAGGAATAATGATGACAATTTATAATACAGAAGTTCCACCTTTGGGTAGGACGTTAACTGAGTTATCCAGTGAGAGTTATGTGAAAGTGGAAAGATAGATCACAGATGATGGCCTCATAAACTTCCTATCTATTTTGATATCTAAATGGTCCTTTCCCAGTTCTCACTTTTCCTGACCTTTCTTGTTTTACTTCATCATACACAGTGGATTCTCAAGAAATTTGGAAAAAATGAAGCAGTATCCAAGATTCCAAGGTAATCGGTTCCCTTAAAAATACTCCGCCTCCCACCTGCCCTTTCTATTTCTATATATAATATATAATTATTCTTTCAGTCACCCTGGCACAAAAGCTCAAATTTGACTACTACTTTTAAATCCAATAGCTAAAGCATACTTCGAGCCTACCAATTCTACCAATGGACCATTTCTCAAATAATCTTTTCTTTGCATTTCTTCTTCTAGACCCACAGCAAACATTTTTAACTCATCCAAAATTTCCCACCAAGATCGGAAAAGACTCAGTCTTGCTCAACTGAGACCTTTTAAATCCACTAGTAATGATTAAAGCTGACCCTTGCATTTAAAGTGCTTTAGGCCTCCAATCTCTCCTCATGTCAATCCATGCTGCAGGCTAATACCAGGTTAAGGTTTCAAAAGGCATTTAACATGTCACCATCTTGGCAAGCCAGTGAACACAGCAACTCTAAACCCCTTGCTGAATACTAAACATCCTTCACAATCTGTCAACAAGTGGACCTTTCTCCCTAAACCTCTTCGTCCACAAGTCATCTGTACTTGTCAGCTGTACTTGCTCTTTTCCCAAACAGCCTTAGTTACCTGAATCTTTAATACCCGCATACCCTCCTTCTAGCTTTTGGAATTCAAATTATCAAAGATCCATCTTCAAATTCTATTTTATCTATGAAGCATTCCTTCTCCCACCGCTTAAAAAAAAAGCGTAGTTACCCTTTAAGTAATTCATTGGACATTTTGCCAAACACTGGATCCAATTATACATTTAAGTGATGTTGTCTCCAAAATTCGACTGTAAGTTTGAGATATAATGACATACTTTTTCACATTAAGCCTGTAGCTGAGAAACTGGGAAATAATAACTCTATCTTTAATTTCATCATATAAAAAGATTTCCCTACACATGAGGCTATCTCAGACCATAACATATAATAAATAATGGATCCACTTTCCTAAAGACAAATAACTGCTTAAAATGTTTAAACTTAGGTTGTGAGAGAACATGAAAAGTCTATACAATGTAGGCAGGTGCCTCCCACTGAGGACGCTTCATCCAGGTATGTAATAACGCTGTGTGGAGTGGGAGTATCAACATTAAACTTAGGGCATGCCTACAAGTTCTCTAAGAATTGAACCAAGTGTAGAAATACCACCAAAGAAACTGAAAACCTGTCTCTATAAAATACGAGTACAGGAATTTGCACAGTACCGCCTCAAACAGGAATAAACAAAACCTGTGTCTCAGGTTTAAGTAGGAAACCTTTCTCTGTTCAACAACAGTATGAAAACTAGTAGGAAAATTGGGGGAGGATTTTGTCACTGCAGTAGAAACATTCCGGGTGCAATGATTCTGTCTTTTTAAAAAATGCATTTAAGACACAATTGTGTTAGAATTAAGTAAAAGACCTGTATCAGCACTCAATATGGACCCTTGACAAGGACAGAGTAAACTGAACGGATTCACAACATATATTGCAAATCCATTCAATAGCTGTGAGAGAGCTTTCATTTTTTCATTTCAAAACAATCCTATTAATTTGGTACTTACTGTCGGCTGATGAGTTGAGTTCTGTCTTAATCTTCGATTTTTCAAGATCTTCTTTATATTCTTTCTTAAGTAATTTTACTATCTTTTTGCTATAACTTGATTTCTTCACTTTGAAAACTTCTTCATTTTCTTAAAAAAAGAAATTAAATGAAGTTTATAGAAACAATTTTCAGACAATATCTTTCTTCCTTTCTAACTTTCACATATTATGTGCTTTTCAAATTCTTCCAAATACATACTCATAAACTCCAAAGCATTACATAATTTGAAGTTATTTCAAATCTGTCATAAGTTCTCAAAAACTGAAGTCAACTTCATAAGTTAATCTGAAATAATGTGAATTTGAAACTTTTTTTAAAAAAGGCACAATACATGTACATTACACAAAATTTTCCTATGTCCTATTGTCTTCCTTAAATCATCTATTTCAGGAGGGGAAAAAAATCATTGAAAAAGCACTTAATCACCAAATTATTATGGTATCTGAAACAAAATATCCCAAAATCAAAAGATACTGGTTAACAGAGCTGTCAAGTCCTAGCAACCCTTTATCATCACAAATTGACATGTTGTTATTTCAAGACTAAGCTGGAACAAAACACTTTTCCAAAGTAAATTTTGAAGATGTATCCATCGTCTTTGATTTCAAAATTCTGAAGTCAAACACAAACACTTGACCAAACAGTTCTTAAATCATCAAAAGCAAAAATCTGGCTTCCCTCCTCTCAAACCTATACAAATTAACAAAAAAAAAATCACAGAAAGGCTGAAAAGAAACTGTCTCCCTTACTGGAAACATAAAAGCATCTCACATCAAGAGGAAAGTGCGATTTTCAAGTCTCAATTTCTTATTTTATAATGACTTCATTGGGTTCTACAAACACACAATCAACTGGTCAGAAAGTAAAAAATAGCTAACACTCATTTTCGATCAGAAATCTAAACCCACTGCAACCTGGCCTCTCACACCGGATTGGATAAACTGCCTTGAATTACTATGACACTGTCTCTCTTCATTGTCCAAAAGTCCATAAGGGAAGGCCGGACATCTGTACCCTTATTTTTATGGGGAAACTGAGGCTGAGCGATTGCAAGGGACTGGGCCAAGGTCACTCAGAGCCAGAGTTTCAACCTCAGGCTTCTGATCCAGACCTAGTGCTGCTCCTCTTTACACACCTGGCCTTCTGGTCAGAGATGTCTAGACAGAGCACCCAAGAGGCGCGCGCACAGTGACTTGCAGAGGGCACAGAGAACGTGCCAAGAACAGTCAGGGGACCCAACTCAAGCTGTCCCTGAAACACACCCGCAGGGCAGGGGACCCTGAATTTCCACTTGAAAAACTCAGGACGACTGGTCTGAGCTCTGGCCCCTTGGAGTAGAAAATGCACAGAAGGACGGTGAGGGGGCGGTGGTTAATAAAGGCGGCGCGGGAACGAGTCCCCTGCCGGAGCAGAAGGCCGGAGGCGGGGAAAGATGTGCAGCAGGTCGGGCGGGAAGGGGCTGCGTCCCGGGATGCGGGGGCTGAGCGTCCCGGGAGTGCGGGAAACCCAGGGGATGCGGGGGAGCTGGGGGCGCTGAGAACGGATGCCGGGGTCTGGGGGCCCGAAGCACGGCGGCTACCTTCCTCCTCGTCCTGGAAGCTGAGCAGGCTGGCCCGGGGCACCTCTTTGTTCTCACGCGGCCTCTTGCGCGGCTTCAGCCCGTTGCCAGGTTCCGCGCTGCCGGGGAAGCAGCCTCCGGTCTCACCCCCGAAGCCCGGGGTCACTGCAGAGGGCGGCGGCAGCCCCGGGCCCAGCAGCGACTCCCCCCCGGGGGCCCTGTCGCTGCCGCCCGGGCCCGGCTCTTCGCCAGTGCCCGGCGGCGGCAGCAACGGCGGCGGCTCCTGCTCCTCATCGCGCTCTCGCTCCTCCTCCTCCGAGTCATTCCGCTTGCGCACGTTCACTCGCCGGGCCTTTCGGAACATTCCCGCGGCCCGCACGGCGGTCTCACACCCGCTCCCACACGGCGGCCGCGGCAGCGCCGAGCTAGCGACGGCGCACGCGCGCTCGCCTAAGCTCCAGCCGGGTCCTGGCTTTCCTCCCGCTACCGCACACCACCAAGCGCGCATGCGCTAGCTCTCTCCCTGCTTAAAGCGAACCCCGCGTCTCTCGCGAGAACGTCAGCTTTTGCACTGTCCTCTGTTGGCCTGGAGGACTACTGGCACGGTACCCTGGGACTCGGGTACTATCCGACGGGTCACACAGGGGATCATAGAGACGAGAGGAAAGAGTAAGCCCCGTCGTCCCTCCGCCGACGGTGCTGCAGTGCGTCTTCCGCACTTCGAGCTGTAGCCGTCACGCGAGGAGGCCTCCCGCCAAGCGCTGGGAGGGGCGAATGGGGAAGGAGATGTGGGAGGGGGAGGGAAAGGGGGAGGAGCCAGAAGGAGACGCCAGCTTTGGCGAAGGAAAGTGGGGTCCTGGGAGTGGGGTATTTTCGAAACTGAATTGAGATGTGCTATGGTAATTATCACTAACCATACTGGGTAATGCTTCTAATTTCTACAGCGTTATGGCTACAGAGGACGTTCAAAAACCATTGTATTTAATTTATGATAGATGTTACCTGGTCTGATATTTTAGCCCCCTTCTTTCTATTTCAACGAAAGCAAAAGTATTTTAGGGTTTTCGAAAGAAGGTCAAGGTTGCTAGCAGTTCTAAAATAGCCAATTTTAGAAACAAACGAAAAGCAAATCGACTTGGGGGTGGGGGTGGTTGTGACATTTCAGACTTGGCCACAGAGGCAACAGTCTTACTGGCAAGGCCGGACCAGGAGGGTACAGTACTTGACTCTAGGTTGAACTCACAGGCTTTCCCGTTGTATCGCCAAACTTGGGTCCTTTTCCTTCACATGTGCGCGTATAAGTGAATTTATTTTCAGGTCTCAAAATTCAAAAGGTAACAAAAGGCATTCATATAGTAAAACAAAAAACACCCATCTCTAGAAGCCTTCCAGTTTAGTGGGAATATTATACTAAAAGTTTCTCATCCTCCAGAGATATTCTGTGAACATAAAAGCAAATACGTATGTATATTTTTATGAATTACCTTTTTTACATGGTGTAAACAGTGTAGTTTTTAGTCTAACAAATTGGAAATCGGTTGATATCTGTACATAACGTTTTTTTCTCTTCTTTTACCCGCTGCTAAGTGATCCGTTGTTGAAACAATGTAATTTATGTAAGCAGTCCTGTAAAAATTGATTAAAGTATTTCCATTCTTGGTATAATAATGCTGAAATAAAAGCTTCAAAAAAATGGTCACAACTGTAGAGTGAACTAGAACTGGAGTTGCTAGATCCACATGTGTGCATTTGTAATTTTGCTAATTCTGAATTGCTCTTTATAGAAGCTGTGCCAATTTGTACATTCACCTGCAAATATCAGAGTGCCTATTTGCCTACACCATCCTGTCAAAATTTCACGTGATACTTACCTGGCAGGGGAGATAACACGATCACGAAGGTGGTTTTTCTAGGGCAAGGCTTATCCATTGCACTCCAGATGTGCTGACCCCTGCGATTCCCCCAAATGTGGGAAACTCGGCTGCATAATTTGTGGTAGTGGGGGACTACCACATAATTTGTGGTAGTGCGTTCACGCTCTCCCTGTTTTCTAAATTAAAAAAAATTTTACGTGAGAATTAAGTTCCAAGTGGAAGCAGACGATCCTAAGCCCACTAAGAATGTCTGTGTCATACACACCAGTCTCTTTTGTCTGGTTTTCTTTGATTGGATTTCAGATCTGCCCACCAAGACTCACTTTTGGAAACTGGAAAGGTGATCTAGGCTAAGAGCACCCTCTGTAACATTTTCTTCCATGTAATAGGAAAAGTTAATAACACCTGGCTTCCGTTCTATTCACATTACTCTAAGTTCTTATATTCTGGCTGTTCAGCATTGATTTAAGTTCTGATTCCAACAAAGTGTTTCATTGGTGAAATTGAACTCCAATTCCCATCACAAAAGATTCAAATTGTGCCTGGTCAGCCTCCAGACACCTGAGCCAACAGACAGTTTAGCAGTAACATGATTAGGGTGGAGGTAACAAAGATAAGGTCCACAGCAGAATATGTTAATATGTTGGCCTAAAACTTCAAAAAGAGATCTTCCACTGTAACAGTATTGATTGAATATGGGTAAAGAGCAGAACACTTGCATTACAAAGTGAGCCAAGATATTAAAAGACAAGAAATGGAGTTATAACTTTGACAGTCTACCTATTCAGATACAGGGTCTGCACAAGCAAGCCAAACGTCTTTCTAGAGGTTACAGACCTGTGAAAATTAAATTCCTGAAAATGAGTAGCTTTCAGCAGTATGTTATCAGAAGTTCATTATTTTATAAAGTGCTTCTGTGCTTTTAAGTATTTAACTGTTTCGCTTATTGAATATAGTATGTCATCCCCATTTAATATCGGGGTGTCTTTAATATTCTGGAAAGACGAAGATTGCTTACATAGAACTGTGACATCAACTATTTTGTTTAAATCAATGAGTTAGTTCAGTTCTTTTTAAAAAGTCATCTTTCCAAGCAAAAATTCTGATTCATTTTTTCACTAAATTGAGACCTTACATGGAATAATTGACCTATAAATCCAGACAAAATAGCCAAACCAGTTTTGTTTGTTTTGTTTGCCGACCCAGTAGTAGACTCTAGTCTGGAACAGTGGTTACCAAATGCAGGTCTATGAAAAGTTTTCCCTAGTCAGCTGCCAAATGAGAAGAGTAAGGACAGCCTGTCTGTGTAGAGTAGCCAGATGTCCTTACTGGGGGAAAAAAAGAGTCCTTTATTCTGAGATTGTCTTTCTCTTTCCATGTTAAAATAATAAAAGCTCTTTCCTTCTATGAAATAATGATGATAGTGTGTGTTTGTTTTTACATCTTTATTTGGCAAACTAAAAAGTGGTGAAAACTAAGAGTCTAACCCCAGTTTTTTATTTTATCTAAAATTTGTATTTGGCAGGCAAAATCTGAGAGTCTAGGAATTTTTGCTTTTCTTTCTAAAACTACAACTCAAGAATTCTCTTCTGGAAAAACAGCTGAATAAATTATTTAATTAAAAAATTTTAAACCTTGCCTTACTGAAAGCAGTTCTGCATTAACTTAAAGTAAAATGTTAGCTTCGAGGGGGAGGAGATTTTATGTTTTGTTCACTTCTATCTTCACAGTACTTGCAATAGGGCCTGGCACACAATAATAAATATTAGTTAAATGAATGGTGCCAGACATTATCTGTTTGTTTAATTAGTGATAAATATTTTACCCTATGTTGATATACATTAACATTTTCTACAGCTTGCATCCCTTTATTCTCAAAACAAGATGCTCAATAAATTTTGAGTGGATAGTAGAATTACCCAGTTTAAATAGCAGATATATTTTGAAAATACTGAATAAGTTCAATATTTCCATGCAAGGAAATAAAACTATTTTACTTTTATTACTATAGTCTAAATTTGGAGGAAGAGAAAAATTTCCACTTCTTTTTGTTGAAGAAACTGTCATTTCAGAAAATGAAGGAATAGCCATTACCATTGAATTGCCAATGCTTCATAAAAGTTGAGTGGCTGTCCACTGGGGATATGGCAAAAAAAAATTAAAAAAATAACTTTTAAAAGCCTGAATCTTTTAAACCTGGATTCCAGTAATAATAACAGTTTGCTAGAAAAGATAATCTTACTGAATTAGATGCAGTGGTTAAATTTCAATGGCGTTCTAGAGAAAGAATTTAGAAATTTTCTAACTTCTAAGCTCTGGATGAAGGTACTTGTCTCCCATTATTCACAATAACTGTATAATTGCTGGATAAAGAGTTTTCCTCACTTTTACCCACTGCTTAAATGCCAGTGAGTATATCTGTATGGATATCAATAGGGTACTACATCTTAAGAACCACAGATATAAAATGATAGAAATTTCAATTTGATTCATTTTTTTCCTCTGTGCCAATGGCCATTTAAATATCTTCTATTTTATTATTATTATTATTATTATCCAAAAGCAACAAAGAAACAAGACAAACAAATAAAGAAACAAAAACTCATAGACACAGACAATAGTTTAGTGGTTACCAGAGGATAAGGGGGTAGAAGGTGGTAGATGAGGGTAAAGGAATCAAATATATGGTGATGGAAGGTGAACTAACTCTGGGTGGTGGACACACAATGTGATATACAGATGATGTATTACTGAATTGTACACTTGAAACCTATGTAACTTTCCCAACCATTGTCACCCCAATAAACTTTAATTAGATTTATCCTTACTAAATGTGTGAAGATTTCTAGGATTGAGGCACAACATTTCCCTTCAAGATAATTATAGTTAATAGCTCCAGGATGTCTCCTTTAGTAAACTTTTCTTAGAATATTTTATGTAAAATGAAGAGCAGTTGAAATAATTTTATCCAGTTCAGTATTTTACATCTCCTAATGTTAACATGTGAAACAGTGTAATTCATAATCATGGTACCAATGTGATATTTATATTACATTTGAATGGGCACTTTATGAATACATCTAAGAACTATACAACCAATGTAAAAGCAAAAGTAGCAATACATCCTTTCCGAAAGAACTCACTTATCTTTGCTCAATATCATACATAGTGTCTGCCCTTGGGGAAAAAATTGAAAGCAGATATATTATTAAGACAACCGAGATAAAAGTATCTCCTCTGGTTATAAAAGATGTAAGAATGTTTTTTTTTCTGTGTTACTTAATCCTAGAGGGCAACAAAGTTGTACAATAAATACATATTAATAGTAATGTTATAGTACCATTACAGAGGGAAGAATCAAATCAAGCTTCAAATTTCTTAGAAACTAAATGGACTTTTAAAAAAATAAGCTTTTGCTAATTATAAAAGAACTACCTACACATTTTAGAAATTTAGAAAATACAGAACAACACAAAGAAGAAAATAAGAATCACTTATAATCTTAACACTTAATTTTGGATGCATTTCTTTCCAGAATTTATGGACATTCATTCGTCCTCAGTGGGTTCAACATTCCAGTGCATATTGTACTTAGGGTTTGTTCTCTAACCTCCTCATATTTAATAATCATCTCCACCACTCCGC